GCCCACCCACAACTGACGAACAGACAGCCTGGACTGATGGCTGAACAGATCCCTGACTGATCGCTGTTCAGCTCCTCAACAGAAGTACAGTGAGTCTTTAACCTCTGACTGAGGGAGTTGGGGAAACAGCAAAAATGCAAGGCAAGGCAAGGCAGATATGCTATAGCATCTGAGCAGACACAAAGTGAATGAGTGCTAAGAAAGCAAGTGAGGAACCCTGAGATGCAGTCTGGTCGAATCCATGAGTGCCGGTTCCTGTGCACAATATGCCCTGGCAGCAGGATTACAATGAAAGGTGCTGGTGTGCTGCAAATTGCAGTGTTCAAGAACAGAATTGTATTGTAAGTGTGCCATGAGGGTGTGGCATGGGTGGGGGATGCAGCCATGCCTTGAGATATTGATGACTACTGTCCAAGATGTTGGCCTGGAGGTGGAAACAGAAAGCTAGAGTTACCAACTACCCATTCTGACTCTCCTGTTGTGAATTATTGTTGTCTAGTTTCTACCCAGTGGGTAGAATGGGAAGCTACATGAGACGAGATTAGGTAATGCATTAGGTAATGCTAAAACATACAAATAGGCCTTTTGATGCTCACTAATGAGATTCTCATCTTGCAGCTTGAAACTTCGTAGGAGAATTTGATTTTTTGCTCTTAAAGTCAAGAATCTCATTTCTGCCAATCTCATCCTGTTTTCTCAACTGACTCACCAATGCCCACATCCTTCTGGAGCTGTGAAGATTCTGAGCATAGCAGTCCCTCAATACTATCTGCAAGAAGCATTGCCATAACTTGGCAGAGCTCTTTGGATATGACTTTCCAAACCCGTAGGTATACTTCCTAGAAGAAAGTGGACTGAATGTACCTGGAAAGACCACCACCTGCAGGTTCCACGACAAAACATACACTGTCCTGAGGTGGAACTAAATCGCTGTTCTTTCATTTTTGCTGGGTCAAAATTCTGCAATTTCCTTCCTAACATTATTTATCTATCATAAATGATGTAGAACACTATACCCAGTGGTTCAATAAGTAGCTCAGTAACTTCTCAAGGGCAATTACAGATAGACAATCAATGCTGCCCTTACCAGCCATACTCTCATCCCTTACACAAATAGAAGAAAAATTCATAAGGCAAGATTCCGTGGTACTCATTTTGGAAGGTCGTAATGGTAGCTACTAAACAGAGATATACCACTCTTCACAAGGGTCACATCAAAAATGTCATCTGATCACGCTGACCCCTAAAGAGTTTAAAAGTTGACCCTGGTGCAGAAGGTGGATGATGAGTGGGTTGTATTATCTTTCAGTTGGTGGGACAGAATCAAAATTGGAAATTCTGTGCTTTAATTTAGTAGCATTTATCTGAATGGAATGCACAATGTTGATAACAGTGATAAATGTGCAGCTAAATGTAAGTGAACTGTGATAGCTCTCTAAGAGCCTTTTAAAAGATTGGGGGCTGCTAGAAAGGAGCTAAAGACTCCTACAAGCATAGGTAGATGACAACAGTTTTTAATTAGGTCCCCAACAACTTAAAGCTACCACATGCTTAGAAATGCAGGTTAAAATTGAAAATAATGGGATATTGGATGGAAGATCAACCGGTCAATTTTAACTGCTTCCACTCTTTAGGTGTGGGGTTAATTGAATATTAAATGGTGGGAGGGCAGCCTGTAGAAGAGTTTTATAAAGCCATTATGAGTTCACAAAGAAAATTGTTCTGTGGAGTTATGAGCTAGTGTTACTCGTTCCACCATATAGAAGAACTCCTACCTAAACAAATATTAGGATAACAGAAACAAAGAATAACTGACTGAGTTTGAGCAAGTGAAAGAGTGTAAAGAAATTAATGAATGAAGAACAGTGTGGGACAGAAAGACAGTTCAGGTGCTTGGTGACTTTGTTCTTCAATCTATGGAATCTCAGATGAATCCAATTCAGATTATGAGAAAGGAAATTTCTATTCTGTACTTCTTGAAAAGGTTGTAAATCTCAAGCAGTTCCATTGGTCATAAGTTCATATCCCATGAAATGTCTTGAATCAGTGATAAAATGAGTGTCATTCAGATATGCTATAAAGATGTATGAAATGAGAAGAAAATTTTGTGACTCTTATAAAAATGACATAAAATATGTTTAAAATATCTAGGTTACAATAAAAAAATAAAAGTTTTGTGAAGGACTAATTGCTTTGCAATGGAGTCATTTATGCTAGTCTTGCAAGTGAACAGTATAATCATTGTATAAATTTGTGAATGTTGTTTGTGAACATTATGACCTTTGGTTTATAAACTGCTGCTTCAATGAGAACTGTTAACATTTGTACTGGGCTGAATTTCACTCGAAGTGCTGAAGCTGAACTCTTCTAACATAGAGCATAAGCATTCCATAATAGTACACTGAATCCAGTGCTGAAAGATAAACACCTTGGTGACATAGTTCCTATTCTTCAAGGTTTCTCGGTCAATGTCATGAAGCTATATCTAAAGCTATTAGGGAACAATGCTGCATCCACAGGAATAATCATTATAATCAAAGTATATTGTTTTTTCCTTGAACAAAACTCTGGTGATGCATGAGAACTCCAAGACAACAAGGTGCAGGGCTGGATGAACACAGCAGGCCAAGCAGCATCATAGGAGCAGAGAGGCTGATGTTTCGGGCCTAGACCCTTCATCAGAAAAGGTTGCAAAGCGGTCCCCAAGCCTCCGCTTGGTTTCCCCGATGTAGAGGAAGCCAAACCGGGTATAGCGGATGCAGTATACCACATTGGCAGATGTGCAGGTGAACATCTGCTGGATGTGGAAAGTCTTCTTGGGGCCTGGGATGGGGGTGAGGGAGGAGGTATGGGGGCAGGTGTAGCTCTTCCTGCGGTTGCAGGGAAAAGTGCCGGGTGTGGTGGAGCTGGAGGGGAGTGTGGAGCGGACAAGGGAGTCACGGAGAGAGTTGTCCCTCCAGAAAGCAGATAAGGGTGGGGAGGGAAAGATGTCTTTGGTGGTGGGGTCGGATTGCAGATGGCGGAAGTGTCGGAGGATGATGCGTTGGATCCGGAGGTTGGTGGAGTGGTACGTGAGGACGAGGGGGATTCTTTTTTGGTTCTTATTGCGTGGACGGGGTGTGAGGGATGAGGTGCGGGAGATGTGGGAGACACGGTGGAGGGCGTTCTCGACCACCGAGGGGGGGATGTTACGGTCCTTGAAAAATGAGGACAACTGAGATGTACGGGAGTGGAATGCCTCATCCTGGGAGCAGATGCGGCGGAGGCGAAGGAATTGGGAATAGGGGATAGCATTTTTGCAGGAAGGTGGGTGGGAGGAGGAGTATTCTAGGTAGCTGTGGGAATTGGTGGGCTTGAAATGAATATCGGTTTCTAGGTGGTTGCCCGATATGGAGACAGAGAGGTCCAGGAAGGGGAGAGAGGTGTTAGAGATGGTCCAGGTAAACTTAAGGTTGGGGTGGAAGGTGTTAGTGAAGTGGATGAACTGTTCGAGCTCCTCGTGGGAGCATGAGGCGGCGCCGATACAGTCATCAATGTAACGGAGGAAGAGGTGGGGTTTAGGGCCGGTGTAGGTACGGAAGAGGGATTGTTCCACGTAACCTACAAAGAGGCAGGCGTAGCTTGGGCCCATGCGGGTACCCATGGCTACCCCCTTTGTCTGTAGGAAGTGGGAGGAATTGAAAGAGAAGTTGTTGAGTGTGAGGACGAGTTCGGCTAAGCGGATGAGGGTATCAGTGGAGGGGGAATGGTCGGACCTGCGGGACAGGAAGAAGCGGAGGGCCTTAAGGCCATCTGCATGGGGAATGCAGGTGTAGAGGGACTGGACGTCCATGGTAAAGATGAGATGTTGGGGACCGGGGAATTGGAAGTTCTGGAGGAGGTGGAGGGCGTGGGTGGTGTCACGGACATAGGTAGGGAGTTCCTGGACCAAGGGGGAGAAAATGGAGTCTAGATAGTTGGAGATCAGTTCGGTGGGGCAGGAGCAGGCGGAGACAATGGGTCGGCCAGGGCATTCAGGTTTGTGGATTTTGGGAAGGAGATAGAAGCGGGCAGTGCGAGGTTGGGGAACGATGAGGTTGGAGGCCGTGGATGGGAGGTCACCGGAGGTGATGAGGTTGTGGATGGTTTGGGAGATGATGGTTTGGTGCTCAGGGGTGGGGTCATGATCAAGGGGGTGGTAGGAGGAGGTGTCGGAGAGTTGGCGTCTGGCCTCGGCGATGTAGAGGTCAGTGCGCCATACTACAACTGCGCCTCCCTTGTCCGCGGATTTTATGGTGAGGTTGGGATTGGAGCTGAGGGCGCAGAGGGCTGCACGTTCTGCGGGGGAGAGGTTGGAGTGGGTGAGAGGGGTGGAGAGGTTGAGGCGATTGATGTCTCGACGGCAGTTGGAGGGTCTAGGCCCGAAACGTCAGCCTCTCTGCTCCTATGATGCTGCTTGGCCTGCTGTGTTCATCCAGCCCTGCACCTTGTTGTCTCGGATTCTCCAGCATCTGCAGTTCCTACTACCCATGAGAACTCCAACGTTATTTGATTGGGGAGTATAAAATAACAATAGAACTAAATTGTGACCACAATGACAAATTATTTCAGTTAAATAGATTTGGAAAGTTTGTTCAGAGAAGAATTGCCCAGATTAATTTTATTCGTTTTTGCTCTGGATTATTGCTGTTTCACTTATCTCTCACATGTGATTACATGGACCCAGGAAACAACTATACCCATATGGCTAGGAATTGATTAATTGATTGGTAGGTATTGGTTTTTTTCAGCTCAGCATTTTCCTATTTTGGTATGTTCATAGGTCACATTTGGCTATTCAGGTGGCTGATAAGATCATGCAGTATCACTTGAAAAGCTTTCGTAAGAGCACTTCTGCTTTCGTAGATAAAATGAGTCATCACACTTCAAGCTTAACTTATTCAGTGAAATGCTTTGCAATATCTTGAAGTGACCATGTGAAAAAGTATAATACAGAAACTATAATTTTTCAACATCTCTTTTTATTAAACTGGTCAGATGTATGGATGTTTAGTCAAATAAGGAGGAAACAACATAGTCAGTGTAAGTTCCATCAATAAATCCTTTCCCATTGTTGTGAACAAACCAGCATGTGATGTTGGCACCCCACTTTGAATCCAATCGATAATCTTTCTGCCATCCTCTATAAGAAATGTCAAAATTATAACACAATTACATTTCCAAAAGAATCATTTAAATATTCTCAGATATATAAACAAAAACCACAATTTAAACTTCTACCTTGTTACTGTCAGATTATGACCCTTTACAGCCATTGTAGCATCTGGTTTTTCTGGGTCCAATCCAGGATGGATGTTATACACCTTATAGTTAACATCATGGTAAAATTGACCTATGCAAATATCAAGTAAAATCAGTACTAGCTAAAGATTAGAATTTCACAAATCCATCACAGTATAATAAGAAATATAAACTATCCTACTCAAAAATTCAAACTTAGCTCCAACTGATGTAAATCTTTGTTCAATGATAGCCCCTAATCTCTGAATAAGAAAGTCGAATGTTTAAACCCCAATCCTGAGCTTTGAGCATTTAATCTAGACTGACATGCAGTGCAGTACTGAGAGCGAGCGCTGCATTGACAAAGTTGAAGTGTCTTAGATGAAATACTAAACAGCATGTAAAAGATTGTTTCTATTTGTCCAGGATTGTGAGCATTGCTGACAAGGCAGCATTGCTCATCTCCTCTTGACAGAGTTGTAATAAAGCCTCCTTCTTGAACCACTACAGTCTCTGTGCTATTGGAAAGGGAGGTCCAGGATTTTGACTGAGCAGCAGTGAAAGAAGAACGATATAGACCCAGGTCAGGGTGTTGTGGCTTGGAGGGGATTTTGCAGGTAGTGATGATCCTGTGTTGCTCTTGCCTATCTCGGTAACGGAGGTCTTTGGTATGGAAGGTGCTACTGAATGTGCCTCAGTGTATTGCATCAGTGCATCCTTCCTATGGTACACACCAATGCAACTAAGAATAATTGCTGGAGAAAGTGAATGCTTAAAGTTGGGGACGAGGTGCAAAGCAAGTGGGCTACTGTATCTTGGATGGCATCAAATTTCTAGTGTGTTGTTGGAGCTGCCCTCATCCAGGCAAGTGTGATATATTTCATCACATTCCTAACTCATGCCATGTAGGTGTAGACAGGCTTGGGCAATTCAGGAGGTGATTTACTGACCTCAGATTTGTTCTTGTTCAGATTCTGGTCACTAGTAACCCCTAGGATGCTGAAATAGGGAAATTCACCAACAATAATGACATTGAATGTCAAAGAGAGATGGCTAGATTCTCTTTTGTTGGTAATAGTTGTTTCCTGGCACTTGTGCGTTATGAATGTTATTTTTCATTTATTAGCTGGCACTTTTCAAAGAAAAACAGGGTGAGTCATCTTAATGTCCTGTATAACATTTATCCTTAACGAACATCAATATAACATTAATCAATGCTATTTCTATTTGTGGGATGTTACTGCTTATTGCTACCACATTTCCCTACATTACAACAGTGAATACTCTTTAAAATTGGTTATCAAATGCTTTAGGCATCCTGAGATGCTACGTAAATGCAAGTTCATTCTCTGTTGACTGTATAGGTAATAAAGTGAATGTGCTACATACCAAGTAATCCATGGGTCATATTTGAAAGCCTGTGGCTATCAAGTGTATAAAATCCCAGAAAATCTCTGTGCAGAGGGTGATTTTTCCAGACCCGATGCAGCACGATAACGAATGTTGCACCGTCCCCCATCGTTATTGTGAGATCTTTCTCTTTCCTGATAGAGACTGAGCAGCTAGATAGAGATAATTTTTGTATTCAAGTGTAATTGATCCAAAATTGTTTCAGTTCTTTATAAAAGCATAAGTGAGTGAATGACTACAGGTATATAATCTCAAGCAGTTATCAGTTATTGTTTTTGATGAAATTAAGCCAACTGACCTTCTAGTTGTGCAATATTTGACTTGTTTGCATATTGTTCCCACACTGAGCAGAGACAAAAGCAGCACTTTTTGTATTCCTTCATGGGATGTGGCATCACTGGCTAGGCCAGCATTTATTGCCCATCCCTAGCTGCACCTCCATCACCTTCTCGAGGGCAACAAACGCTGGCCTAGCTCATATCACCCACATCCTAGCAATCATAGAATCTCTACAGTGTGGAAACAGGCCATTCATCCTATCGAGTCCACACTGATCCTCCAAAAAGCAACTCACCCTCTCCCCTATTCCTGCATTTCCCATGGCTAATCCACCTACCTGCACATCCCTGGACATTATGGGCAATTTAGCATGGACAATCCACCTAACCTGCACATCTTTGGACTGTGGGAGGAAACCAGAACACCCAGAGGAAACACCCACAGACAGGGGAAGAAAGTGCAAACTCCTGCAGCTGGAATCAAACACAGGTTCCTGGCACTGTGAGCCACCGTGCCATCCTATGAGTTTAAAAAATGCATGTTGCTGTTCTCTGTTGCCCATTTTGTACAACTTGATGCTATTATTAGCGAAATTTTAAGCTTGTGATGTAATCAATGTAACACTGCGGGAATTCACCTGCAGTGAGAAGTAGCTTCTCTGTTTTTGTTTACATAAATTTTATTGTGCAAGTCTATATACTGACAAGCCAATGGGAACACAGTATAGACTGTACTCAAGTTAAAGATCTAAATGGCTGAATCTTATGTTTATTTGGGTTTACCTGAGTTTATTTAAGGTTTCTGGAGGGTTTGGTAGATGCAGATAATGGGAGACATGTCTGCATTGAATATTCCTCCTTAGCATGTACAGCCAGTTGCTGCAGGTTCTACTCTGGTTGAGTGACCACCATATGTACTGTAAGTGAAAAAGGACCACCTGCAGTGCAATACCATCTTCCCAGCCCTACAGCCACATCAAATGCTAAACCTAACACTGTATTCAGTACCATCGCTCACTTACATCACAGGTGAGGACATGAAGTTGTGTGGTTCACATGGGACCCTTGGAAGTTGAATGATTAGTGGTGTCCCTTTGGCCAGCACTGGCCTTTTATACCATGATTGCTTCCAACTTCAACATTATTGATATGCCTGGATACAATTTGCAAGTATCAATGTCATGTGGCAAGTTGCCTTTGACCAGCATCTGACTTCTAAGCTGCCTCACTCTGATTGTAAATGAAGTGGGTAAGACAATGATTGCAAACTCAATTTAGCTGCTGTTTGCAAATGGCTGCTTCACAATTTTCTTGTTGCAATGTACTATCATTCAGCAAACATGGATCCGAGCTTCCACCCAAAACTGATGCTGTCTACGCCCAACCTGGGTGTTCCTCCTGCTATTTTCTAGGAACACTTTGCAACTAGAAAAGCAAAAATGATAGCAGGTAACGCAAATCATGCTGGACACCATCAGCACCAGGCTCAGTGTGGCTGCCACATCACCCCCCTCCCTTTCCCCCTCAGAACCCCTCATATCTATCTGACCCCTTTATCCAGCACTACTCAGGCAACCCTTTCCAACCCATGAGACCCAATGGTGAGAAACGCCACATTGAACTTTGTATACAGCTATCTTTCCTGCCCCTTGAACTTTAGCGTTACCTCTGGCTGATGGTCAATTTGCTCATTTGCATTCTCCCTCTGGAGGCCGTGGTCATGACTCCTGCTCCCAAAGTCTACCATACTCTCCAAAGCAGCTCCAAATTTCCGCATTGAACTTGAGATTTTCCTGTCATAATTTCTCTCCCTACTACTTTAACTGCCTCTGTGTTTCCCCTTCCAGCCTTGATTCCTTCACTCCTGTGCTGCCCTTGCAGGATCCTAACCCCAATGAACCTTCCTAAAAGATCAACAGAAGGAAACCAAAGACTTTTTTTTTCTCAGACCTCTACCAGCTTTTACTAACAGCAATAGGCATGAGTGACCAGATGTCTGATTGATGTGTTCACAACTCCCTGGTTCATAATATGCAAATTCCCCAACTCCTTGTGCTCACCCTATCGGACTGACCATAAAACACTTCTCAGACTCTGGTGGCATGAATCCCCTGACCATGAGCCAGCCAGTCAGACGACTGATTGTGACAAAACCCCTTTTTTGTGATGACTGTGCCTGTGACAAATGGTACAAGGGCAAACACATGGCAGTTTATTATTGCAGACAATACCTCTCATATGTTAATGTTGCTGTAGTTGACCAAGGGATAATAATCTTTTCTTCATTGTGATAAATGTTGATTTTTTCAGTTGTCACTGCCATTTTCATGTTAATTTTCCTGTTTTCAATCCCAAATGTTCCAAAGTATGTATTTATTTTCTGGTTGTTTTCTACTTTCTTGTCTCCTATTAATTGTCCATTTACTTTTATGCCTGTAGTTTTATGACAAATATATCAAAAATAACTTAAAAACAATAAACCCAATATGCAAATAAAACATTTGATTAATGGGTGATGATTATTAAAACACCAAAGATATGGTAGTTATTTGGATAACCTAACCTAACAGGAAGAATACAGACTGAATGGAAAGTTAGATGGAGCAAAAAAAAACTATAAGGAAAATAGTAAAAAGATGAAACATAGTGCACAGGGTGGGAAATGAAAGATATTATTTGCTGGGAAGACCAAAATGTGGCTGAGACCGAATGAAAAGAAAGAAAAGAGCAATAGTTGATATGGCATACCCTTTGTCAGCATGGTCCAGCCAAAATAAACATATAGTACAGAAACAAAAATCTATATAGTGAAGTGACGTAAACAACAAAGAAAAAAAAAAAAAAAGAATCAAAAGGAAACAAAAGTGAGGGAGGGAGAGAGAGACTGAGACAGAGAGAAATAGCAAAGTGAAGACAATAGAAAAAGTTACAAAATAACATGTTCTTTCACTCTCCGTCAGCAACAGTGTCAGAGATTTACTTGCAATGGTGCTATTAATTCCCAACATTTCCTTGTGGGTAAATTTTGTGTCGACCTGTAGTGTTTGTGTGTATCCTTTTGTGGATAAGTATATATTAATGTAACAAAATGGAAAAATCAGTAGCTAACTTACGTGATATATGAACCTCTATTTGATATAATAATTGCAAAATAATTTGATTTTGTTTTTCACAGGAACATTATAAGAAATACATTTTACAATGTCATGATTTTTTTCGACAGTAAGGAAGGACAAATAAGAATTTCCCTCCTTTTCATTGAATCATAAAAATTCATGTGTTTTTTCAGAGATTTAGAACAATGTCTATTTTCTTTCTTGGAAATGTGCTGTGGGAAATTATTTTCCTGTAAATGCAGTAGAAAATCTGGTGTTCCAGTGGATGTAAACAAAAATCCATCGATTCTTCAAACAAAAGAAAATAGGTTTTCTAGATATCCTGGCAACGACTTATCTTTCATTTCATTTCTGTTCTCTCATTGCTGTGTTAGAGGTTATTCCATTTGTTTAGAATAATTGCCCATGAAATATTTTGTGGCATCTTTAGTGTAGTGATTGTAACAAGTTCAGCCAGGTGGACCTCATAGAATATGAGTTTCCCAATTGGGACTGTTAATCTGGCTAAATCAGGGAGTCCAATCAGTGTAAGACATCGTCTTCACTCTCAGAGAGCTGGATCAATGTCAAGGACTCTCCATGTGTAAATAAAGGGTGACTTGATGATGGGATAATAGCATCTGTGGAGGTATTTTATTTAGCATTCAAAAGCAACTATATAAATGCATTTTATTTTATGATTGTTTCTCTTCTAATGCTCTGCTTAAAATAAACTGTATATGACACTATGTTACCTGTCTGTGGATCTGTGACAAGATTTAGTATTGAACCTGGTTTCCCATTAAGGTTGAAACAGATGGCATTCTGTTGTTTCGGCCGTTGGATAATGAAATGAGGATCTCCATCAACTTTAAAAAATGTAGAGTTAGGAAATGTTGACAGCCATTAGAAATCAATATTTATACTTTAAAGATAACAACATATTGTATTTTCTAAGGTCAGATATCCGAACAGAGGAAAAAGCCATGCAAAGAAAAAGAAATTTGTCGTGTTCTATTTGTTTTGTAACTCAAAAAGATGTTGTTTTATATACTAAAATGAAAGCAAAATCCTGTAGATGTTGGAGATTTGAAAACCAAAAGTTTCAGAAGAGTCATTTTGCATTTGAAATATAAACTCTGTTTTTCTTTCCACAGATGTTTTCATGCCATGATCCTCTGCAAAGGGGCGGCACAGAGGCTCAGTGGTTAGCACTGCTGCCTCACAGCGCCAGGGACCCGGTTCGATTCCAGCCTTGGGCGACTGTCTGTGTGGAGTTTGCACGTTCTCCGTGTGTTTGCTTCGGTTTCCTCCCACAGTCCAAAGATGCGCAGGTTAGATGAATTGGCCATGCTAAATTGCCCATAGGGATGTGTAGATTAGGTGGGTTATAGGGGGATGAGTCTGGGTGGGATGCTCTGAGGTTCGGTGTGGACTCGTTGGGCCAAGGGGCCTGTTTCCACACTGTAGGGATTCTATGATTCTAATGTGATTTTAGCCGAGGGGAGAAGGATTGAGACAGTACAATAGGTAGAATAATTGTATGTGGGGGTGTACATATTAAAATGTTAAAAATCTTATTCATAACTCCAATCCACAGCTCAAAATCTATTTTTAAATCTTTTTCTAAGTGGCAGGCAGTGAATAGTAGGGTACCACAGGAATAGTGCTAGGACCCCAGCTATTTACAATACTTATTAATAGAACATAGAACATAGAACAGTACAGCACAGTACAGGCCCTTCGGCCCACGATGTTGTGCCGAACTTTTACCCTAATCCTAAGGCCTATCTAACCTCCACCCCTACCTTATACTATCATCCATATGCCTATCTAATAGCCTCTTAAATGCCCCTAATGAGGCCGACTCCACTACCCTCTCCAGCAATGCATTCCATGCCCCAACCACTCTCTGCGTAAAGAACCTACCTCTGACGTCTCCCCTATATCTACCTCCACTCACTTTAAAACTATGCCCCCTCGTAATAGCTACCTCCACCCTAGGAAAAAGTCTCTGGCTGTCCACTCTATCTATACCTCTGATCATTTTGTACACCTCTATCAAGTCACCTCTCATCCTTTGTCATTCTAAAGAGAAAAGCCCTAGCTCCCTCAACCTTTCCTTGTAAGACCTACCTTCCATTCCAGGCAACATCCTGGTAAATCTCCTCTACACCTTTTCCAATGCTTCCACATCTTTCCTGTAATGAAGCGACCAGAACTGGACACAATACTCCAGATGTGGCCAAACAAGGCTTCTGTATAGCTGGAGCATAACTTCACGGCTCTTGAACTCAATCCCTCTATTAATGAAAGCTAACACACCATACGCCTTCTTAACAACTCTATCCACCTGGGTGGCAGCTTTCAGGGAACTGTGGACATGAACCCCAACCCCAAGATCTCTTTGCTCCTCCACACTGCCAAGAATCTTTCCGTTAACCCTGTATTCTGCTTTCAAGTTTGTCCTTCCAAGATGGATCACCTCACACTTTTCAGGGTTAAACTCCATCTGCCAATTCTCAGCCCACTTCTCTGCATCCTATCAATGTCCCTTTGTAACCTAGAACAGCCCTCCACACTATCCACAACTTGACCCACCTTTGTATCATCCGCGAACTTACTAATCCACCCTTCCACTCCTTCATCCAAATCATTTACAAAAATCACAAATGAAGAGGACCTAGAACAGATCTTTGTGGTACACCACTCGTAACTGAGCACCATGTTGAATATTTTCCGTCCACTACCACCCTTTGTCTTCTAAGGGTCAGCCAATTCTGAATCCAATCTGCCACATTTCCCCCTATCCCATGCCTCCTTACCTTCTGCATGAGCCTATCATGGGGAACCTTATCAAATGCCTTACTTAAATCCATGTAATCCACATCCACTGCTCTACCTTCATCCATTTGGTCACCTCTTCAAAGAATTCAATAAGATTTGTGAGGCATGATCTACCCCTCACAAATCCATGCTGACTATCATGAATCAAACTGTGCCTTTCCAAGTGATCATAAATCCTATCTCTCAGAGCCCTTTCCAATAATTTGCCCACCACTGACGTAAGACTAACTGGCCTGTTATTTCCAGGGTTATCCCTATTCCCTTTCTTGAATAAGGGAATGATGTTTGCCTCTCTCCAATCTTCCGGCACTATACCTGTGGACAGTGAGGATGAAAAGATCATCGCCAAAGGCCCTGCAATCCCTTTCCTCGCTTCCCATAGAATCCTTGGATAAATCCCATCAGGTCCAGGGGACTTATCTGTCTTCCAAGTTCCTCAAAATTCCTAGTACATCTTCCTTACTAACATCGACCTCCTCTAGCCTACCAGCCTGTTTCACACTATCCTTCTCTACAGCTAGGTCCCTCTCAGTTGTGAATACCGAAGAAAAGTATTCATTAAGGACCTCTCCTATCTCTTTAGGCTCCGTGCACAAATTCCCTTTACACTCCTTGATCGGCCCTACCCTTTATCTGGTCATTCTCTAATTCCTCACATACGTGTAAAAAGCCTTGGAGTTTTCCTTGATCCTATCTGCCAAGGTTTTTTCATGCACCCTTAGAGCTCCTTCCTGGATAACGTGTATCCCTCTAGACCCTTTTCTGTTCCTTGTTTCCTAAACCTTACATAAGCATCCTTCTTCGTCTTAACCAGTCGTTTGACCTGTCTTGAGAACCAAGGCTCCCTCACTTGACCGCATCTTCCCTGCCTGCTAGGGACAAACACAAATGATTTCGATGGGGGAGCTAAATGCAATCATCTCCAAATTTGCAGATGACACAAAGCTGGGTGGGAGGCTGAGATGTGAGGACGATCCAGAGATGCTTCCATGTGATTTAGTCTAGCTGAGTGAGTGGACAATTGCATGGTAGATGCAATATAGTGTGGATAAATATGAGGTTATCCATTTTGGTAGCTAAAACAGAAAGGCAAATGATTATCCAAATGGCTATAAACTGGGGAATACAAAATGAGACCTGAATGTCCTTTCTAAACCAGTCACTAAAGGTATGGTAGGCAGTAAAGAAGGCAAATTATACATTGGCCTTCATAATGATAGGATTTGAGTTAAGAAACTGGGATGGCTTGCTGCAATTGCACAGGGCCTTAGTGACACCACTATCTGGAATATTGCATGCAGTTTTGGTCTCATTATCTGAAGAAGGATGTTCTTGCAAAAGATCTATTACAGTGAAGGTTTATCAGAGTAATTCCTGAGAAGGTGGGACTGACGTTTGAGGAGAGGTTGAATCAGTTAGGATTATGTTCAGCCAAGTTCAGAAGAATGAGGGGATTTCATAGAAACCTATAAAATTCTAACAGGACTGGATAGGGTGGATACAGGAAGAAAGTTCCCAATGTCAGTGAAATCCGAAGCCAGGGGTCACAAACTAAGGATACGGGAGATACTATTTAGGAGACTGAGATAGGAGAAATTTCTTCACGCAGAGAATGGTGAGCCTGTGGAATTCACTACCAATGAGAGCAGTCAAGGCCAAAACATTGTATGATTTCAAGAAGGAGTTGGCTATAGCCCTTGGGGCTAAAGGAATGAAAGGATATGGTGAAAAACGAGGAGCTAGTTACTGAGTAGCATGATCAGCCATGATGGTAATGAATGGCAGAGTTGGCTCAAAGGGCTGACTGGCCCACTCCCACACCCATTTTTGATGTAGCAGTTTCTGGTTTTAATGTAGATGGGTTGGGATGGTAAGTTGTCAATTTAAAAGTTAGAATAAGGCTAAATGTCTCAAATTGTATCACCGCTTTTAAATTTAACCCAGCTAGCAGAGCTTCTTGCGCTTCAGGAAACCTGCAGCTAAAGGAAGGTGAGGGCTGCAGAATCAAGGAGCTGAGTGTCTTTCTATTTAGCTACTAGATTCAGTTTACCTGCCTCACTGATCACACTCACCTTGATCAGTCACTCCTATCCTGCACTCTGTTCTGTTACCTTGATGCACTTGTATAATATATCTGTCAGTAAGGCATGTAAGACAACACTTTTTACTGTACCTTGGTACACGTGACAGTAATAAATCAAATCAAATCCAAAATCAATTGCCAGACTTTCTCAGTTACACTGCTTTCACTCTCCCGAGATTCTTCAAATCACTGTCCTGATTCTTGATTTCCCAGACACCTTGCAGCTGTTCTGCAGGGTTTCTGAGCTTCCATGACCTAGCCACTTGTCATCTCTCTGGTTTCCAATTGCCTCTCTGGCCTCCGATCTCTATCCCATTGTGGATTGAAATCTGACCCTTATTCTTTCCTCTAATCGCTTCTCTATCTGGCTTCTGATCTCCTTCGCTTACAACCTTATCCAGCACTGAACCTCGATTTTACCTCCATCCTCCGACCTTGTCGCCCAACATACATACACCCCTCTGAATTTCTCTCTCCTCTCACCTCGCCTGTTGCAATCTTGTGTTAAAGGCCTAGACTCCCAGTAGCCAGCCAGTCAATCTCGCAAGGCTGAGGCTGGGAAGCAAAGATATAAAATGGTAACAGATCCTGCCTCCAGGTCTCAAAGAAGCACTCTCCTCCCTCCCTGTCTTGGGATTAATGCCCAGCCCAGAAGATTTGAATGGAGAAGTAGCATCTCCATCATTCTGCAGCCCAAACCTGATTTATAAAGGGAAGGCAAGACAGATAGTAGAGGTGATTAGAAGTTGTCAGAAATGTGACTAATGTCATCAAAACCTAACAATTAAGCTGTTAAATCCATTTCAAAATAACTTGCATGCACTGTGTCTGCTTAATGTTTAGAAAGAAACATGAACAACTTACCACTAGTTACTACACGGTCAGCTGTTTAAAAATAAATAAAACAAATTAATACAACTTTCAATCAAATTATACTGAGATTAGATATTACACATCTTCGGTAAGTTATAAGGCAGTAAACTAATTATGAGGCTCAGATAGCAATGTAAGTCACTCAAGCTTTACTTCACTGTTGAGAATTTGAACTTATGAATCCAACTACTGGTTTAGAAAGACAATCAATAGTCAGTTTATGTGTTTAATTATTGTGTGGTATTGACATTAGTTAAAAATCTTTTTCTTAGTGTGACGCTGTTGCTGTGGTTCTGTTACTCTTTAATGGTTGACAGGTGACAACAGGACTCAAAGAGTTTATTTTCTTAACAGTAAAACCTAATGGCATACTCCATCTGTGATGTAGAATGAGAACTGAGAGGTTATAACTGGCAAGAAAGACTGAAGAGGCTGGGGTACTCTTGTCCAGAAAAGGCAGTGCTGAGGGGGCGGAGGAGGGAGGGGGTTGTGTGACAGGATGTGGGAGCCCCACTGATGTTTTTAATAATGAAATGACTTGATAGGATGGGCATGGAGAAAATGTTTTCACTTGTGGAGAAGACCAAAACTAGAAGCCTTAAATATAGGGATAACACAGTGTGGAGCTGGAGGAACACAACAGGCCAGGCTGCATCAGAGGAGCAGGAAAGTTGACATTTTGGGTCGAGACCCTGAAGAAGGGTCCCAACCCGAAACATCAGCTTTTCTGCTCCTCTGATGCTGCCTGGCCTGCTGTGTTCCTCCAGCTTCACACTGTGTTATCTCTGACTCCAGCATTGGCAGTTCTTACTATCTCTGAGCCTGAAATGTAGGGTTCTGGCAACTAAATCAAACACAGAATAAAACAGAAACACCTTTTCCTAAAGAGTTGTAAGAAGGTAGAACGTCCTACCTCAAAGATTAGCTGCAGTGTTACAAGAGAAGTCGATATAATCTTGAGTTATGAAAGAGAAAAGAAGAATTTGTTGATTGTATTGGATGGAATGGGATGAGAGGAAGCTTGCATGAAATGTTTCCAGAGCCTTGTTGGGCTGTATGCTTCTGAGCTTTAAACTATATAATTTGAGGTAGATATTTGTAGTATGACACATCTTTTGGGGAAACATAATTACAGAGTAAAGAGACCATCTTATATATATTATAATGAAATATCTTACAACAGATGAAAATGACCACAACCTTTTCCTAAGTCTTTTTGACTAGAATACCTTCTCTTAAGCCATGTAACGTAAACTTTTGTTTAGCTAATTTATAGCGTTTCTTTCTCTCTTTGGAATTCTCAGGCATTTTACCTTTTTCTTTCCTTGCTAATCTATCTACTTCTGGAGTTAAAGTTTAAGCTTTCAAATTTCTATTTCTTTTCCAAATTTCATTTATTTTATTCTTTGTATCTTAATTTCTTTTTCAATTTCAATTGCAACTGGATTTTAGTCAACTAAACTGAAATGCTATATCTGGGTTATTTTTTCTTCCAATTCCACATGCTCTGCTATTACCTCAATTACATCAGGTTTTTCTGTCCCTGTATTTAACACTTACTCCAACTTTTCAAGTAATGCTACTTAACTACCCTGGTTTATTTTTTGTAAATCACTTAGGGATAGTATTTTCTCCCTAGAAAAGTCTTAGCAACACAAAACCATTACAATAAGTAGAGAAAAATTCACCATGAAAATCTTATCATCTTTCAGCTTAACAAAGTCCTAGCACTCATTTAGTCTTTAGATCTGCATCGGACAAGAGTCCTCAATTTATGTTACGATTAGACAAGCCTACCAACTTTATGTTACGATTCCATGTGAAACCAATATTTCATGTTATGACCAGATTAGCGACCAGCAAGATTTTTTGTTTAACATTTGAAATCCCAGGTACTTACTAAAATAGTGAACTCACAATATTCCATGATTTTTAACAAACAAAATAAACATTACTACACTAAATTAGAAAAGTTAAAGAAATCTACAACATAAATTTACAGTTTATATTCTAACATCTAGGTTTAACTTGAGATAATTGTGAGTTAACAGATAAACTATAGTGAAACACACCACAGAGCATATCAAATGGCAGATGCAGTCAAGGCAGTTTCCATGAATTTCTCAGCAATCTAACCAGACTTGAGTGGTACTGAGAGCCAGTAAATCTCATTAAATCATTGATATACCATCACCACCCTCCTCTGCCTGGCCAAGCTCATCCTCACTCTGAACAACTCTTTTAACTCCTCTCACTTTCTCCAGGTCAAAGGGGTGGCCATGGGTACCCACATGGGCTGCAGTTATACCTGTCTCTTGTGGGGTATCCGTGAAACATTCCTTGTTCCAGTCCTGTTCCAGCCCACACCCACAACTCTTGCTCTGGCATATCAATAATACCATTGGTGCTGCTTCCCTCTCTCATCTGGAATTGGAAAAGTTTATATATTTTGCTTCCAATTTCCACCCAGCTCTCACCTTCACGTGGTCCATCTCTGACTCCTGCCTCCACTTCCTCAACATCTCTGTTTCCATTTCTGGGGATAGGCTGGCCAGCAATATCCACTACAAACCAACTGACTCTTACAATTGCCTTGATTATATGTCCTGACACCCTTCTTCCTGTAAAGACTCTATTGCATTCTCCCAGTTCCTCTGTCTCTGTTCCATCTGTTCTGATGATGCCAACTTTGACAAGGGGGCCTCTGAAATGTCCACCTTCTTCCTCAACCGAGGATTCCCCAGTACCATAGTTGACAGGGCCCTCAACCAGGTCCAACACATCTCCTGTACTTCAGCCCTCACCACGTCTCTTCCCTTCCACAACAGCAACAGTGTCCCCCTTGCCCTCATCTACCATCCCATCAGCATCCACATCCAGAGGATCATTAGCCAACTTTTCCACCACCTCCAGCAGGATACCACCACCAGGAATGTATTCCCTTCCCCTCCCTTGTCCACCATCTGCAAGGACAGTTTCTTCTGGGACACCCTGGTCTTCTATTCCTTCACTCCCAACACCCCCACAGCCCCACAGCACCGCCCCCTGCAACTGCAGAAGGTGTAACACCTGCCTGTTAACTTCCTCCCTCCTCATTATCCAAGGGCCAAAACACACCTTCCAGGTGAAGCAGTGCTTTACCTGCACTTTACTCAATCTAGTCTACTGCATTCGCTGCTCACAAAGCAGTCTCTTCTACATTGGGGAAACAAAGCATAGACTGGGTGACTGCTTCACAGAACACCTATGTTCTATTCACAAAAAAGACCCTAAGCTTCCAATTGCCTGCCACTTCAACACACCACCTTACTCCCTGGCCAACATCTCTATCTCAGGCTTGCTGCAGTGCTCCGGCGAAGCTCAGTGCAAGCTGGAATAACAGTGCCTCATTTTCCATTTGGGAACTCTACAGCCTTCTAGACTCCATATCAAGTTCAACAATCTTAGAGCTTGAGGCACCTTCTCCCATGTCCTTACCCCAACTCCCACGTACCAGGCCTTTATCGTATGGTCTGCTATTTCACATTACCTATTGTTAGCCACTATTAGTCCCTGATAGCAGCCATTCATTCTCATAGGCTGGCCATAATCCACTCCTTTGTCTCTCCAGCTGTTCTTCTCTTTCTTTGGGCTCTGTCTCCACCTATTGTTTACTCCTTAACCCCTCCCTCCTCCCTGCCATCTGCATAAAGACCAACTTTTTCCCAGCCATCATCAGTTCTGAAGAAGTATCATTGCACCTGAAACATTAACTCTGATTTCTCTCCACAGATGCTGCCAGACCTGCTGAGATTTTTCAGCAGTTTCTGTTTCGTTTCTGATTTCCAGCATCCGCAGTTTTTTCGATTTCTCATTAACTCCTTGCCTTCTTGATGAGGAGTTCCAATTCTTTATTTTTGCAGATCTAGCTTTGAAAATCCCCCAAATCCTCTGTGTCACAGACTGCCTCAACAACTGCTTGTGAGCTGGCTGTTCAACCTGTTCTCCCAAGATCACATTCCATCCTGAGACTCCTTGTAATAGTCTAATTGCTGCACAATTTCAATTTTGCACTGAACTTGAGCTATGCCTAAATTTTGTCAAGAAAATTCTCAACAAGGTCCCACACGCAGCCTCTTGGTCTTCTTTTCCAAATGAGCTGACTTCCATCTGAATTTACATCTCATTGGGATACATAAACAGTATCCATTATCTAATTGCTGGCACAGTTCAAGCTCTCTACTTCTTTGAGCAGAACTCTACTGCCATGAGCCAAGCTTTGCCCCAAATGCAAGAAGCCAGCTAACAGCAGCACTTTACAACAAGGAGTCACCTTCTCTATGTCTCTCGCTGACTAAAACTGATCCCTGAGTTGCTGTTCACTGATCCTTGAATTGATTACGTGACCTATTAAAAACCTTAAAACAATTTCCATACTTGGGTCAAGTATAACCAGCAGTTAAACACCTTGTGCTTAAATGTTACAATCTCAACAGGCTTCCAGCCCACACAGCATAGTTGGATACTGAAAAGGATTATATCACAGACTGCAGTAGTTCAAGAAGGTAGCTCACCAACATCTTCTCAAGGACAATTAGAGATGGGCAATAAATGATGGCCTAGAATGTGATGCCCACATTCCATGTATGAATACACTTTTAAAAATATATAATCCTAGCATGCTTTTCTTAACCACTGCAGATTTCTAAAAAATTTGCTTGTTAAATTTTGTATGAGTGAGTCAACTGACCCTCAGAAAAAAATCTGTAAATACATACATTTTAGTCCAACTCAATGTATGATATATCCCTGAAATGGATTGTGTAAATCTCTAATTAAAACAAGTTATCAACATACATCTTGATAATTATAAAATTCTGCACATAGATATTCTATATGTTCTAACATTTTATAAGCATTCATTTCCGTAAGTAACTTGAAAAGCATCGATAACCAAAAGGTCGAATCTGTTCTGAAAGAAAAATAGCAAACTTTAATGCTTAACTGCAAATGTGTTTATCAGCAGGGTCACT